TCCCCCACATAGGAGACCGTCGAGCCCTCCAATGTCAAGAACCTTTTCAGAAAAATCCGAGGAAGAGGTTGGTATTACTATTAGGACTAGGCAAATTATACGTTAGATTCTTTTTGATCCGATATTCACAAAGTGGATAGGAAATTTGCGGATAACAAAACATTTCTATATTGAATTATTATTTTCTTCAAGATATGCGTTACGGACCGGCCATTTTTACTATACCTTAAATTACAAAATCACCCTTATAATTGTTCCAGATTGTCGTCTTAACATTTTCTTGATTTTTTTGTTTGACTAGTTGACCGAGTCGCCTCCGAAGTCTGAAGGGAGGACTATATATTACCACATCGCAGACGAAGAAGGACACGTGGAAGATGAATCAGCCGTTGGATACGCTTTCACTTTCAAAGGAAACAGCGTGGAACAGTTGACGCAGGCGCTACAGGAAGAGACTAGCATGGATGATGTTGTTGTATGTACACGCAATCCTTTGAACGGCAAGCTGTTTCCTATTCGTTTGCAACTTCCGCCGAATAGTGGAACAATGCATGTCGTTCTCGTACCCTCAAGTACTTTTTAAACGCCAAGATGTATGCCAATAGTGGTTAAGTATTATTAGGTAAGAGTGATAAATGATTGAATCTGTAGATAGATCATGATTGTGGATTTGTGGGTGCTATATAATCTTTCATTTGATTGTACATAAGCTTATTTTGTAAACGAAAGCATTTAAGTTTCGCCATGTTATCTATGTGAACATTTTTTTAGTTATTAAAATATATTTTTTGCAATAATTAGTAAAGTGGCCAAAGCATTGTGCAAGTCTTCACCGACTCTTCAACTAATTTGTTCCTTTTTCTTTTTGATATTACTAAAATGTAAGTGTTCTTGCTCAAGTACTTCTTGTTTACCCAGTCATCATAAAAACAAAAGAGAACAATCTCCATTTCCCCTACAAGATCATATACACTAATACCGAAATGTATTCCTCACAAACGTTTTCAGGGAGATTTACTAAAACAACTTTGAAAAATGGTTTTTTGACCAAAATGATGCTAATCTTTCATAATTACTCAAACAACCTTCAAAGATTTATTATATCCGTTTTAATCTTATTTTCTTTTAATACAAAAAACGTATTTACGAAACTGCCATTAATGAGGCANNAAAATNTTCNCGCCAAAANNGAANAAGTCTACCNTTNATGTGATGGTAGATTTATTTNCGATNGGTANATTTATTAAGTGGTTGGTAGACTTATTGATGGTTCGCAATCGTAGACTTATTTATAGTAGTGGTAGATTTATAATATGTGGTATACTTATTTGTAGTAGTGGTAGATTTAATTTTATGATCGGTAGACTTATTTCTAGTAGTGGTAGAGTTAACTTTGTGATTGGTAGACTTATTGATGGTTCGTGCAGTCGTAGATTTATTTATAGTAGTGGTAGATTTATTTTTCACTGATAGACTTATTAGTAGTAGTGGTAGAGTTAATTTTGTGATCGGTAGACTT